AATGTTATATACTGTCAACAATTCCCGTATGTAAAAACATCATCATGGCGTAATGTCAATAACTGTGATAAAAATTAATGAATAAAACTTGTACGATTTTGACTCAAGTTCATTTGAACTGAAGAAGTGAATTTTTTGAGTACAATTCATTCGATTAAAGTATTGAAGAATGATAAACTTCACTTTCTATTTTCAAACTTTTAAAATAAAGTTTATCATTTTAATGTTGATGGTAATACAACGTACAATATATAGCTACAGTTCTAACTTGTAACAATTGTACACAACAATAAACGTTATACTGATAATTTTGAAGATCCATGTGCTTTAAACACTTTAATGTAACAGATTTTTCAGGTTCTAAATTTGGGTCATCTTTTAAAAAAGAGGTACGTTTAGCGTACATTTTGTTGTCTTTAACGATTAGTAAACAACTAAGCTAAACATTGGAGTTTTTCAAAATAAATATGTTTCAACATCTCGTGATGCCATTTTCAGTATTAGTGACAACATTATCTATATGAGATAACATATATGATAGTAATGTGATACAGTGATAGTTTATTTAAATATAAGTTGATTATATACAGTAAAATATTGACATGAATTAATGATAAATGTGTTTACAAGTTCTTCTCTAATTTAAAATTTTAAAAGCTTAAGTTTTTAATGTTTTCTTACTTTACAAAAGGGAGGGACAACTAAGGACAGAGTAATAAAATTAGGGCAACCTCTCGAGCAGGTGCAACCCTCAACCTTCGATCTCCGGCTTGCACTGATCTGCTTTTGAGTTCTCCCAAAGTTTTCCTCGGTTTGCATAAGCCTGCGCATAAACATTAAACATCTTTTATTTCTTAATTGCATGATCATTGAGTTACATTTAGGCTTCATTTGACAAAATTTAAGGCTTTGGCTGCCTTTTACACTGTATACCATTGCATTTAGCAATATCACTGACTTTTAATACATAGAAAATTTTAACCTGCAACGATAGCAATTCTATACAATAAACAGGGCCTTATTTTTGTTCACAAATATAAAGTTTGATGTTTGAAACAGGCGTTAAAATTTTGTTCAAACACGTTAGAGGATTAATTATTGTAGGTTTCAATGGTCATATGCACCAGCCAATAAAAATAAAAAATTTTATCGTGACGTCGATGTCAGAAGTGTGAAAGTATTTAAATTCGTATGTGTCTACTTTAACGTCAGTCAAGTCGCTTTAACTTTATAGAGAGGAAATGTAAGTACTGTGTATTTACTGGCGAACAGGCGAAGTAAGAAATATATGGAAGAAATTAGCACGTCTTGTTAAAACTTTCGTAATGTGAAGGATTTTACTATTCGCGACTAAAAGGGTCAAATTTAAAGTGGGAAATATGTTCAGAAAGGATGGTCCCTGATATCTGTACTGTATTTGTTAAATATTGAGGTTACACCATAAATGGAATGATAAAAAGTTATTAAAAGAACATTGTATAACATGAACGAACATTTATGTTGGACTATTTAACTAACTACATTCTACAAATATGGAGAAGTGGCAAATGCAAAAGAGAATGAAGAAACATGATGCAGGTTTTAAAGTTCGTAATTAGAGTTGACAAGTTTTAAATTTAGTTTGCATTTGTATGTGGTTATTATGAAGGATCACGGTGGTCTATTTTTACAATTTGAAGATAAATGAAAAAATCATGTTTAAACTAGGATTTTGTGATTAAATCTTTCAATTTTTTGTTGTCAATATAAAAGGCCAAGTGCTGCAAGTAAAAAGTTGCTGTTCACTCGTTATTTTTTTTTAAATGGATACTAAAATATTTCAGTTTCTAAAGAAAAATTACAACACAATAGTCTATTTTAAAAAGCGTTCATTGAATTTCTAAGAGAAAAAAATTTCGCTAAGTACTTGCACGAAGCATAAAAACGTATGCGATCAACAAAAAAGCAAGAGACATCAAGTAACAGGAGTCAGATTGTAAAAAAAATTTTAAACTACGACGTTATTTGAAACTGAATCAAATTATCAAAGGTTTCAATAATATAACGCGTGAAATGATTGCTCTGTATTAGCCTGTACAAACGTGCATATCTGAGCTACATCAATTATATCAATTAAAGATAATTTGCAACTGAATCATGAATACATGTTAGAGAAAAATTTTAAACTTTTTTCTTGAAGTTATCTGTTTTGCATTACTATTATTTACAAAAGACCTAAAAAGTGCTTTTGTGTTTCTACTGGCTTATGCAAACCTAGAAACCTTTGTGAGAACTCTCTAGCTGGTGCAAACCGTTAATTTTCGGTGTAAAGCTTGCACTGACATTGTCTCCAGTTCTACCAAATGCCTCCTCTGTTTGCTTAACCCTGTACAACAATTAAGCATCTTTTATTTCCAAATCCCATCCTATATTCAGTCTTCACAATCCTCTTGTTCTAATTTTCTTCGTGGTTGTGAAAGAGGTGAGGTGTATCTTTTTGCTTACTAATTATCAATATACCAACAATTAAATTTTGATTTTATCTTCCTGTCATCCATTAATATCCATTCATATTAGCCATTAATGTCCATTTGTGTCCTTTATTGCAGACGCACAGACGGTCGTTGATGTAGATTTAAATTACGACTGTCAATTGGCTTTGTCAAATATCTTTCAAAGATTGATCAATGAGTTGTCTAAAGTTGCCCAAGGACGTCAAGCTATTGAATTAGGAGCGACACCAGTAAGTTGATGAATATGTTTCATAATGTTTACTTCTCTACGTTCTCTTGTTCATACCTATGCCACTCGAAAAGGATTGGAACGTAGTCTATTATTATAAAAAGGACTGGAACCTAGTCTATCAACATGAAAAAACTGGAGCATAGTCTATCAACATGAAAAAACTGGAGCATAGTCTATCAACATGAAAAGGACTAGAACATGTCTCTAATATTTTGTGCTGATAATGTTGATTATAATACATCTCTTTATCACGTTTTTATATGAATAGTATCAATGTCATCTTATTTTTATATGATTTTTCCAGGTTCAAGAACGCAGTATTCGTATCAAAGGTCTGGAATGTCTCGTTTCTATTCTTAAATGTATGGTAGAATGGAGCAGGGATCTTTACTTTAAACCTGATTCTCAGGTGGACGATAATTTTGGTGAGTGTTAACATCTTTATGAAACTGAAGAAACTCGTATGTAGCGAATATAAACTTAATATTTTTATACATTTCGATAAGTTATCGCTTTATGATCCATTGTACCCCTCTTTTGATATCGGTTACACTGACTATTTTGGTCTCCATCAAGATTCCATCTTTCTATACTCTGTATCTCCTATTTATCGAAGCTACTCCATTATTTTCTTATACACACGTTAATGTTCTTAATCGTAACTAGTTGTTCGACAATTGTAGTTAACCTCTCAGGATCTAAGTTATCCCTTAGTTATCTTTTTACCCTTGCTGGTCTCGCGGTGGATCAAGGCTATATCTTAATGTTTATTGTTACTTATTATTGACCCATGCTACCCTCTATGTTCTAGTCTATCTCTCAATAATCTATATTATCTTCCCGATGATCTAGGCTATCTGTTAATGGTCCAGGCTAACCTCTTAATGTTCCATGCGATCCCTTATTGATCTCCAAATCATCATAGTTATTCCTCAATACTTCTGTTTAATCTCTTCCATATAAATTTCCTGACAGATCTGGTTGAGGGTGCACCATCAATTTCTTCAAAAGGAAGCACCGAGGAGAATGAAAACGGGGGGGAACCCGGTGATCTACAATCTCAAAATACAGGGGGTAGTCATTCATCTCTTAATAGTACAAAAGCCATCGATGATGCTGAAGAATTCGAGAGTCTTAAACAGAAGAAAGAGACGAAAGAAAAGGGAATTCAATTGCAAGTTTGGTCAAAAATTTTGCTTATCTTCTGTACTTTTATTCAATTTTACGATTTACTTTAAGATTTAACAAGAATCCATCAAAAGGTATAAAATTCCTTCAATCTGAAGGTCTCCTTGGTGAGACAGCAACCGAAGTCGCTCAGTTCTTACACACTGATGATACACTAGACAAGGTGATGATCATTTTAGTCCATTTATATCCCTTGCAATCCTTATGTTTATGATACACTAGACAAAGGGATGATCATTTTACTCCATTTATATCCCGTGCAATCCTTTTGTTTATGATACACTTGACAAAATAATGATCATTTTAGACCGTCTTTATCTCTTGCAATTCTTATGTTTCATTTCACATGATGTTGTCTTCTTTCACTAAAGTTTTCATTTTGTCACATTTGCAGGCAATCTTTAAGGAATTTGTAGAAACATTAAATGTTGCTTCGGATTTTGACCCAGTGTTGCGTTTTATGGTTTTAGACTATGATTGGCGAGCTGATTGGTGATCCAGGACAGTAAGTATGTTTTTTCATAATTCCCTCGCCTAACAATCACGTGAAAATCACGTTAAGACGTTTGATTCTCATCTTAAGTATTTATTTCAACCTAAATTGAGTCAAGTAAAGTTGATTATGTTAATTTGTTATGAAGCCCATGGATGGTTTGCTCATGATACATGAAATAGTAAATCAGAAAATTTAATCGTAAAATGAAGAATGTCTAAAATATGTTTAAGGTTGCATTAAACTCCATGTAAAAGGACAAAAGCTGTTTGAAACTAGGCATTATCTTCAAATCTCTTGGTTATTTTGTCCATAAAAAACAAAACAATTTTTAAATGCTCAAAATTTCTCTATCCATTGAATAATATTGACAGAATTCAGTATGATTTGCTACTGTTCAAAATAAGCAAACAATAATAGACTTAGATCTATTATTCGTCATGTCCTCAACTGTTCGTCATATCCTCAACTGTTCCTCGTGTCTTCCTATACTTTTTGGATATGAACGGGAGATAATGTACGCCTATATAGATCAGTTGGATTTCACTGGTACCAATCTTGTGCAAGCTCTGCGATTGTTCTTACATAACTTCCGGCTTCCCGGTGAAGCGCAAAAGATCGATCGACTCATGGAGAAGTTTGCGAGTAGGTTCTGTGAAACGAACCCAAAGTAAGGACATGATTTGTGTCTTGTTATCTGTTGTTTTACATCTCGCATTGAATGCTGGTCCGTTCATTTTATATTTATCATTTGTATTTTAGTGACGATGTGTTTGCTAGTGCAGACGCTGCCTACGTTCTGGCTTATTCTATCATCATGTTGACTACTGATCTACATAGTTCACAGGTTACACAGACTTACTTTATTTGCAATGGTTTTCTATAAAAGTGACTTTATTTCTAACATCACGTGACTCCATTGTGGTCACGCGAGATTTTCATGGCGTTCATATGGAGCCTTCATTGGAATCACGTGAAAATTTAGCCTTTAGATGCGACATCGTAATCACGTGAAATTTTCTTTCAGGTTAAACGGAAGATAACGAAAGAGCAGTACATTCAAATGAATCGTGGTATAAATGACAGTAAAGATCTTCCATCTGAATATCTTGAAACAATTTATGATGATATTGCACAGAATGAAATCAAGATGAAACATACACCAAAAGTGAACAGTAGATACGATGCTACATGTATGTATTGCAATATTAATTCGAGAATCAAGGCTTAACTGAAAAAATTGTACAGATGCTAGGTAAAGGTCTTGACTGCGAAGTGTTGAGTCCTAGTTTTGAGATGAAGGTGAAGGTCTTGAGATGGAGGTGTCGGTCTTGAGATGGGTGTAGGAAAGGGGCTTATAATGGATATTGTGATGTTCGGTGTTGGTCTTAAGAGAGTTCCAATGCATTTTCATGGAAGTAAAGAGATTTTTATTGTGCTTCCACTTTACAGATTTACAAAGTGAGAAACATCGTCGTATGTTGTATTCTATGGAAATGGAGCAGATGGCGGAAAACGCCAAAACACAAATGGAAGAAGTAAGTCATATTCAGACGGATTTTGTCACGTCGACACAGATTGTTCACGTGAAGACAATGTTCAAGGTACGGGGGGTGGGGGTGGAGTCTTGAGGGTAATGTTTGTGGTGTATGTAAGGATTGATTAACGAAGCGTTAATTGTGATGTCAACTTATACGGACAGTGCCAAGTACGGAGGGCGTAGATTTCAAAACATGACGTTCATCTTAATCTTGTTAAAGAAAAGACTTAGATTTTATGTAATGAATGTTTGCGATAACTAAGAGTAAATCTGTTTGATAATCTAATATTTTAACTGACCAATGAATGATTTGACTGGATTTTCTTTTGAGATAATCCACTACTTAAGCTAAAGCTGCTTCTTACAACCGGTCCCAGTACCCATTGTTGACCATTTTGTTTTGTGTGTTTAAGGTTGCATGGAGTCCGTTTCTTGCCGCGTTCAGCGTCAATCTACAAGACAACGACGATCCTTCTGTTGCTTCATTTTGTCTTGATGGAATCCGCTGTGCAATACGAATATCTTGCATATTCAGCATGCCTGTAAGTTGATAAACACACAACATTCTGTTCATTTTATATATTTGGGTATGAAATAACGACATTAATGTCTCTGCATACCTTTTCATCCCTGGTGACCTTTCCCGGACATAAATATATATTCAAAAATATGTTGAATGTTGAATTGTTGAAATTTATGAATATATTTACGTAGTTACATACACGTCGTGTTCTTTGCGTGTTATATGTTCAAGGTTTAGATGATACTCATATGTATACAATAAAAACAGATGTTTGTTTACCTTTGAATTAATTGTCTGTTTGTGTACATATATGGATATATCAGGATGCATGTGAATGTGAAATAATCTTTTCTTAAAAGTTTTTCAATGGTTACAGTTAGTTATAATGATGTTAGGGAATATGAATGGAGATTCTTTACCATTAAGTTCATTTTTGATACTCCTAATAACTCTTTTCACATTGTAGTTGGAAAGAGATGCTTTCGTACAAGCGCTATCCAGGTTCACTTTACTTACTGCGACCAGTGGCACGCATATTCATGAAATGAAAACGAAGAACATCGAGACGATCAAGACACTTCTTACCATCGCTCAAACGGATGGTAATTACATCGGGAAGTCTTGGCTCGAGGTAGAGAGAATCGTCTTGCTATATATTATGGTTGGTGTCTACGACTGAAAATATGATCGGTTGTTTTTTTCATCAAAGGAAAAAGTCTAGGTCTTGTCTGTAGTGGAAACTTCACGATATTGCTACAGTCTTTAACTTTCATTTTTCCAAGTGCTTTGTTGACCGTATTCCATACCCTTCATCAGAGAATCGTATCACAAATGTACATCAGTAATAATTATGCATAAGAAAAGGAAGTTTTTTCTCAAGATATTTTTTATTTGAAGATATTTTCTACGTATGTATTTAACGTTTATGTTCGTCTTGTTGGACACTCGTTTTCGTTGCTCAAATGTTTGTTCCGCTCGGCGCATCTTTTTACGTTTCCCTAAAGTCATTGTTTTCATTCTAGATACTGAAATGCATTTCCCAACTTGAATTGGCTCAACTTATCGGTACAGGTGTGAAAACGCGATACCTTCACACGGCGTCCAGCGGTGTTACTAACTCACCCACAGCATTCACCGCAAACAAAAAGACATCTTATGATATAACTTCAGGTTGCTTATAACATTGTTGTGACCCTCATAGAAAAATGTTGGGTGCTTTTCTTTGCTTGTATTTCTATGAAGGTAGGATGCCTGTTGCCGCTGACTCGAAAAAAGCAGCTGGCTCACAGGAAGCCATTGGGGAGACCGCTGCACAAAGTGTTGTCGTTGCAGTTGACAGGTAACGTTTACTTTAATGATAGCTATGTGGATTGTGTTTTGTGACCTATCTCCCACCCCAGGGGCGAAGCTAGAACATTAATGCAGGGGGAGAGGTGAATATTCATATATATGGTATTATATTATGGTATTAACTAATTTCTTTTCAAATTAAATAAAGTCAAGCAAAACTAAATATATTAATATTCACCCCTCCCATCCAGCGTTCCGGCTTCACCTCTGCCCCTCTCCCAGGAATCTTTAAAATTGTCTTTAAGCTAGAGTGGGGCTTGTAACAGCAAAAAATATCGATGAATGATTCTCTATGTAGACATGTTCATTGTCCATGTTAGCAGAGTCCTGAGAATGACTGTTATTGTTATTGTTGACTGACGTTTTGACATCCTTAGCGATAGTCATCTTCAGGCTCAAGTGAACCAGAGAATCTTGAACATAAACATGAAAATAAAATTTTGAAGAACTCGTGCACTATCCATACGTTATGTTCTCTCAGCAGAATATCTTCATCTCGACTTCTTCATTGTGTTTTATTACGTTTAGAGTTTTCACGGGATCAGTGAAACTGGATGGTGATGCTATCGGTAGGTTTGCATGTATACATTAAACTGCATCTTACATAACATTTTTATACATCTAACTTGACCATAATTCACTGACCATTCTTTATCTCAAGTATCCAAATCTCCAATACCCGAAATCCCAAGTACCCAAATTTCTAGTACATAAATCCCCTGTTCCCAAATACCAAATACCAAGTATCCAAATCCCCGGTATCCAAATCCCCATTTCTCAAATACCAAGTATCGTTACTTCCTGTATCCAAATCTCAAAATGTGTTCGTTTTTCTCCTAAGTCGATTTCGTGGAAGGTTTACGTCAAGTCTCGGAAGTTGAGCTTTCCAATCCTACAACGATACGTATGTTTAGTCTGCAGAAGATCGTAGAGATTGCTTATTACAATATGGGTCGTATTCGGCTACAATGGTCACGAATATGGGCTGTATTGAGAGATCATTTTAACAAGGTTAGCGATTATTAACGACTAAGATTGTATCTTGATGTTATGGATAATAACATCACGTTGTTATGATGTACTCAGGTATAGTAACAAGATGATTGTTGTCTTCAATGCTCTATCAACTAAACTATCAGATCAACTGTGAACTATTATGATATTTTAAAACACAGTTCTAGTTTCTTTCATATCTCAAGTATAAAAACAAGATAATCAATGGCTTCATCTCCAATGTTCTACCAACTATAGTACTTCTCCATCTTAGATAATTTATTTGCCATTTTAGTGTGGTTGTAACCGTAATGAAGAAGTTGCGTTCTTCTGTGTCGACTCTTTGCGACAATTATCCATGAAATTCTTGGAAAAGGGGGAATTGCCAAATTTCCGATTTCAAAAGGATTTTCTCCGACCCTTTGAGTACATAGTGAAGAAAAACAGGTAAGTTTATGCAGGAGTCAATTCTGTCAGAAAATGTAAAGTTTCTTGCAGCTTGAAAATCTTTCTTTAAAATAAACAAAATTTGTGGCAGACTTTGCAGATTCTTTTCCAAGTTGAAATTTTACGAAGAATTTTACAAAGGAAGTCTTTCAATCAATCGCTCTGTTTTGTCTGTTATAATTCGAAGGATTTGATTAAAATTCTTTCTTCGATATCTTTATGAACTTGGCAACAAGGAGTGCAATTTCCAGTCTACGATTTGCTTGAATCAACAACTCGATTTTTCACATTTTAGTTCTTCCACAATTCGTGATATGGTCGTACGATGTGTCACACAAATGGTGCATTCGCAAGCCGCAAACATCAAATCTGGTTGGAAAAATGTTTTCGCCGTTTTTCATTTGGCTGCGTCCGATCATGATGAAGGAATCGTGGAACTCGCTTTTCAAACAACAGGTTTGTAGTTTAAGAAAGGAGGTTCTTCTTCTAATCTTACCGCCGACCTGTCTGTTGTGCTCTTGGATAAGGTTCTTGTATCGGTGTAAATTTTAAAATGAAAATGGTTGCATATGTTTGAAGAAATTTATGGTAAATCCGTTTTCAAGCTTGAAGTACTTCGACATTTCTAAAATATTAAATTAAATTCAAAAAAATTGGAATAACGTTTAAGTAAATGTGTTTCTCGGATATGACAGAGAACTTCGTTTATTTTGCAACAAGAATTTTATGTGTTCGTTCTTTTCCATGGTAAATCAGCCATATTTGTATAAGTTTTCAAGGTCAAATTTTATTTACCATAAAGTCGATGGATGTTCGC